TCAGTATCATGCAATCATCTAGCATCATAGAATTTGAGCCCAGATTAATACCACATTTCCCAGAAAATAAAACCTACCTGGAAAACAAGCTCTAGCATGATTTTTCAGGATCTTTGCAATATAAGCCCCAACCCCCAAATAAGCTCATCAGCCAGATGGACTCATTTAGTGTATCCATTGCAATACACAATGGATGTACAAATTATAAAATAGCAATATTAATATATAAATATAAATATTATTGGCATTAATACCTAAAATAAAAGATAATATAAATTATAATAATGTATTTGTAAATACCCAAGTACCTTTGGACAAGAGGCAAACACCTATGTAAACAGATGAACTCAAGACTTACTGTCAAATGACAACCGGACGGTACAGACGCATGCACAGATATCATGCACACTGACAGCAAATGGATATGGTTGTGTCTAATGTGGATCTTTGTAATTCAATGTCGTGTGTTATAACAGACCTTATTTCCCGGAAAATAATGCACTCATGTGAAATGAAGAAGTGTTCTCTGAATTTTGGTGCCAGCAATTTTTCATTGCTTTTGTGTGGACCATCATTCTCAACTGTCATCATTTTTGTTGCCTCTCCTGTCTCCTAAGTCTTCAATTAACACTGATTTAATGGACACTCTAAAGCCCAGCCAGGAAGAGGTCGTGACTTGGGTGAAGAAGCCGTGCGATAAAAATCACAGACAGCTGTGTTGCCAGTGCACTGGGAGCGGTCTGCATGGACAAATACTCATTTAAGGAGGGCTCTATTGCTGGACGTGAGAGACTGGGCCAGCAGTTCCACAGGAAATGGAGTTACAAGAAATTCAGGCCAGAATTCAGGGACTGGAGAGTTACAACTATGTTCTAGATGACACGGCTGCGTTTAAATAAATGCAGACTTTTGTACATGAATAAATGTAATTATTGTACATGGAAAAATATGACATCCCTGAAAATAAGTGCTATTGAGTCTTTTGGAGCAAAAATTAATGTAAGGCCCACACAGTTCAGGCTGGCCTTGAGCTCACTTTGCAGCCCAGGCTGGTCTCAAACTTGCCACCACGCCTTTTTTTTTTTTCTTTTTTATGGGTACCAGGAATCGAACTCAGGACTTGCACACTTGCCAGGCAGACGCTGCACCACTGAGCTAAACCCCCAGCCCCCACCCAGTCTTACTTTCAGAGAAATACAGTAGTGTATCACAGTCAAAATGTGCTCGCCAGCCCTCAGGTGGGTTTGTTGGGCACGGCTCCAGTACATGGCTGCTCCAACATTTGACTACAGGGCCTCTTCACACTCTCATAAATTATTAAGGGTATTCAAGATCTTTTGTTTATGTAGATTAATATCCTAGAAGGCTAAAGAAGCATTAGAAACTAAAATAAAAAATTTAAACATAAATTCATCTAAAAACACTATACATCCATTTACAGATTAATAGAGACAACAAATTCTATTTTTAATACAAGAACATAGGTGACATTTGTTTTCTAAATCATTGAGGTTCCAAAATAAGAATTTATTGATGACAGTAATTATAGACATGTACTAATAAAAAAAAAACTGGAAAAAATGTGAACTGAGGGTGAAACAGAAAATAAAGGATTATTTATAATAAAGACTTGGAAGAGAGCTAGGGCACGGTAGGGAAAGGACTTACAGTACCACACATGCAACCTTAGATATGGCCAACATTCAGGACAAGGTGGTGGGCATTAAATCCTGTGGCAGACATTGCTGTTTCACACAGTATCTCATATAATTTTATAACTATTACCTCACTTAATTCTGAAAAAAAAAAATTACAGACATGACAGAGGCTATAGCAAATATGACCTGTACTTCACAAGTCTACAGTGAAAGTATTAATTCCTAAAAAGTCACATATTTATATCCTCAGTCTATTACTTTAGAAAATTCCAGAAAATGCTAGAATAATTAGGGACTCTTTCCATTTAGCTGTTACAGTGATGACAGTAAACATCATGTTACCTTTGGAAAACTATTGTGCATTCATGAAAGTATGAGGTTGAAAAAGGCAGTATCTTAGAAAAGTTAGTATCTATGAAAAGTTTCAATTTCATAAACTCCAAGTCTCAGTTTTTAAATTATACTTTTAATGAAAGTATAATCTGATAAACCTTTTAAAGGCCACTTGACTTTTGATCTTAAGACTATCCCACAAAAATATTCAGACAGGCACACAAAAAGACACAGTGTATTTCACTGTGTACTGAGCACTGTTCACTAAAGTACCATTAACATTAGAGAAAAACTGGAGACAGATTTCTTCGTAAGTGGTGCACACATGTAACTGCAGCTACTCAGGAGGCTGAAGCAGGAGCAATCAAAGTTGGAGGCCAGCTTAGGCAACTTAGCAACACCCTGTACAAAAAATGAAAAGGGCTGGAGATGTAGCTCAATTCAAAGGTTCACTCCCCAGTACCGAAAATACACAAAAAAGTAAAAACATGTAATACGTATGTGCATATATGCACACACGCAATACACACAAGTACACATACTTGTGATCCTCTCAAGTGGAAAAAACTGCAAAGTAAGATCTAGGATTCATATTCTACTTACTTATAAATAGATATATTTTAAGTCTAAAAATAGACTTAATGATATCTCTGGGGAAATGATGTGAAGGGAGTAAGATAGAGAACAAATTTCACTTTGTAATCTATATATAATACTGAATTGTTCTTATCCTAGCAAACACAAAAAAATACTCTAAACTAAAAACCAAGTCATGAGACATAAATGAGACTAAATGCAATGTGTAGACCAGATTGAATCTTTGAAAAGGACATTTGTAGAAAACTGATGAAATGTAAATAAAGCCTGTCATTTAGCCTTGAAAACTAAATAAAAACAGATAATCAGAAAAGCATATAGTTGCTTAATAGCAATGTTTTGCAACCAGAAAATGATGGCATTACCCACTAATTACCAGAGCTGGTGACTGTCAGAAATTGGAATTTGGAAATCATCACAAACCCTACAGAAATGAAATGAAGACATTATACTTTCTCCTGGATGTACAAAGACTGATGTAAGCTGATTGGCTATAGATCAGTAGGAGACATTTACCCCTTTCTTTGTAAGAAGCAGGAGGTACCACAAGCTTTCACAATTGGTGTCACACAGCACGTATGGCAACAGCTCTAAACACACTTTCCATTTGGGGGTCCAAGAACGCTCTGAACATCTATCTTCTTCATTACTACATGTATTCACATTTGCCAATTTTCTACTTTCTCAGCTTCGAGGCAGCTATCACGGTTAGTTCCCTGTTCAACTTCCCGTAAGAAGTCTCATTTCACTACAGGTGTCCATGCCGGAGCAAGTCTGGCCCCTAAAGCAGTTGTTCCTTCCAGTTTCCCCGGTTCTCTCCCAGAGTGACTGTTCTGTCTGTTCCAGCCTGATCTGTCAGGAACAAGGGGATGAAGAGCCTAACTTTCAAAAGCTAAAAAGCTGTGGAGTTTCAAAGACAGTCACAAGAGAAGCAGCCCCAACCTGTTCATCAGTGTGGTTTCCCTCAGCTCCTCTCCACCCACAACCTGCTGGACTCCCAGCCGCAGCCAGAGAGCTCTTCAGCTCATCAGCACTTTCACATATAAATCCACAATGTGCAGCCAGTCAGCCTCTCACCCCATTTCACAACTAAAATGTCTATCATTTAATGAAAAAGAGAAAGGTGACAGTGTCAGTATGTAAAATGAATGAGTTCCACTTTTAAATATGTCCAAAATATAGTTTTCCTGCATGACTCTTCTGACATACAAAGCAAGGTACACAATGCTACAGGATGATTTCAACTATGTGATCTTAAAAAGTTATGAAAATTTAGTTTGCTTGGATGGTTGATGTCATCAAGCAGTTATAAATTCTTAAAGATATCGTGTGTTTAAAAAAAAAAAAAAAAGGCCATGCTAGCATGGTGGTGCACACCTGTAATCCCAGCACTCAGGAGGTTGAGGCAGGAGGATTGCTAAGAGAGTTCAGGGCCAATCTGGGCTACAAACTGAGTTCAAGACCAGCCTGAACTGCATAGTGAAACCCAATCTCAAAAAGACCCCAAACAAGCCTTTATCTTCTAGAGATACATACTGAAATATATGAGGATAAAATCATCTCAGGCAGAGTAGGGTAGGTGGAGAGAAATGGGTAAACTGTATTGAAATGAAAGTGAGACTGACCACAGACAGATACAGTGTTGAAGGCATATGCTAGTTGAGAAGAGTGATACATTATTTTAAACACTTTTTTACATGTTTGAAATTTTGTAAAATGAAAATGTTTTTATAAAAAACCATTAAAAGGATAAAAATATTTTAAACAAAGGTGACTGTTCTAAAAATTCAGCAATACTCGTATAACAAATGAAAAGATTCAGTTAAATCTGCACTAAATTTACCAACCTTTCTTGTACTCCAAATCCCTTGAAATAATACATTTAAAAATAACTACAGAATCCCAAAAGAGAAGGGATACAGAAAGAACAATATCAGAATACCAATAGTTTTTTTTAACATTTACCTTTTGCAGTCTTTTTTTTATTTTTGTTTTTTGAGACAGGGTCTATGTGGTTTAGACTGGCCTTGAAGTCACTTTAGAACAAAGAAGAGTACTGCTTATAAAAGGTACAACTTATAAACAAGCATATGATACTTTCATTTTTGAAATCAACTTGTAAAATCAACAATAAGATAAGAATATAGGTTTGAACAATTCACAAGCTAAATTTAAAAAAAAAAACTTGCATCCAAGTCAAAATACCCCCACCCCTAAAACTCAGAATTTTGCAAATACTGATCATGTATTCCCTAATGTGGAAACTACAGAGGCTATATTCTATGTCCAATTGGAAATTTTAAACGTATTTTTAAATAATGTCTAGGTTAAACATAATGAAGTTACTCATTAGAAACAATGGCCTCCACAGCTAAAGACTCAAATATAGCCAAGGCAATACTCGGAGAAGCATTTTCAGTTTTGAATACATTTATTAGAAAACAAGAAATATTGGGAATAAGTTGTTTATATAATACACAATAAAGCACCTTAAAGCCCATTCCTGATGTGATGGGCCGTGAAAGTAGTCCAGGAATCTGTGGATGTGTTTGTAAACGTTAAGCCTGTGGGATGTGCATAACTTGTGATAAAACTACGCATTGCACCATATTAGACTCACAGCAGCATGAGTTACTTCATCCTGATGAGATGTATTGGTTTGGGCATCACTTCACTGCATATATATAAAAACTGAACTGAGTTCCTCAAAATCAGGGAAGGCCTTATATTTTTACACCTTTAATACAGGTACAATAGAGGCACAGAAGTAAGCTCTCAGCAGTATTATATAAACTATTTTAATTCATGTACCGAGCAGATGATTTCCAAAATTTGGGGCTCACTGGAGCAGACTGAAACAGAGTAAAAATGTTATTAAAGATGGTTACAAGGTTGGCAAACAATGACTAAACACATATCTTAATCCCAGGTCTGTGACATTACTATTGCTACATGCCAGGCATTCCAGGATTCTAGAGAAAAACCATACCAATGTAAAGAAAGATCTAAGGTCAGCTCTCCTACCTTTTCTTGCTGGCAAGATTAATGAACTTCAGTAATCACAATGTCATATAAAACTAATTCTTCAACTAAAACAACAGTCTGGTTTTAAAAAACCTAGCCCCTTTTAGCTATATGTCAAAAAGGCAGAGCTATAGCTATAGGTAGTAAAATACTACAACACAAGATCAACTTGCCTAGTATTAGAGGAGACAAAAAACCCTCAGCAGCTTTCATTTATTTAAAAAAAATTACAGGGTTCAATTACCTCATAAGACAAATTTTAACTAAACCTTAAAAACAGATAATTACCCACATTATTTCACAAACTACTTTTTGCTATAAGAAATGAGTTGAATCTCATTAAGTATACTACTTTAGCTTTCCACAGAAAAACAAAGATACGATTCTGAACTGTATTTTCAAAAAGCACCCCAATTAAATCTAAACATACAGAGAGGACATATCTATATTAATATTTCAAACATTCAATGACTGAACTATGTAAGTAGGGCTAGTATAAAGAAGAAAACTTTAAATTTCAATAATTCTGGGCATGTTAATTTGATCCAGTTCACTTAAAAAAGGAGTAGATCTTCCTCCTCTGTGTTGAAAAAAACTGTATTTCTCTGCATTTTGTTTAGCTTTAAAAACTGTTTTCTTTATTACTAAGCCAGTATTTTCAATTCTCAACTGGTACAACAATCTTCCTTACCTGAGAGCAATGTGCAAAAATGAATACAAAAACTCTCCCACCAAATACTATATACAATCCCAGTGACACAGACATAGTCTTTTTATAAAAAGCCATGTATTTATTTGCACAGAATCAAAGAAAAGACTTGAAAATCCAACATAATTATTTTATGAGGCTTACAATTTAATTATTACTCCAATTTTGGGAAAAAAAAAAAAAAAACAAACAGTTTCTGGCTTTCCTCCACTAAGTACGTACTGTCTTGCAATGTTTCACTTATGTGCTGAAATTGATGGCAATTATACATCCTTTGTTTTCGAAGAATTTGTGTCCAGTCCAAAAAAGTCTTTTCTGATGATGTACCTAACACATTGCAAAATCACATTTCTTTCATGTCGAATGTCCGGAGCTAGGAGCTAAAAAAACGATTTTAGAAAAGATTAGCTGGTTAAAAAAAATAACTAGGAAACACAATCTAAAATATTAAGTGTCTTCTCATATAAAGAACAAAGAATAATAAGAAATGAGCTATATACTTTTTCTTTCACTAAAAAATAATTAAAGAACATTTTTCTTTCCTTTAAACTTATAACAACACTCTCTAGCTTTTAAAACAGCACAGAAATTCGTATTTAGAGTCCTGTTAGGAGTATCTTGCAAAGAACAAGAAAACGTTTAAAAGTCTTCAATTCTTTTCTTTTTTGTTTTTTTTTTCTGGTACCGGGAATTGAACTCATGACCTTGCGCTTGCCAGGCAGGCGCTGTGCCGCTGAGCTAAATCCCCAGCCCCAAAAGTCTTCAATTCTGTAATTTAAAAATCATGTCAAAAAAATAAAAATAAAAATAAAAATCATGTCAAAGATGATTCCGTAGACAGGTGTACTGGCTCACACCTAAGTTTCAGCTACTGAAGCAAGAGGGTTACTTGAGCCCTGAATTCAAGACCAGCCTGAGCAATATAGCAAGACCCTGTCTCTCAAAAAAAAATTAAAAAGATAATAATAATAAAATCCCAAATCTATACATGGTGTAGAAAGTGGTTAGTAGCTATAAGAAATACAGAAACACTGAAAGCAGATTTTTAAATAAATTTCAACATTCCTTGACTTTCGCAACTTGCCACTATTGTGCTTATTTTACTGAAAGCTAAAATCCCTCATATTTAGGATAGTACATAACAAAGGAAAGCTATGATATTTGCCAAGATGGAATTTAGTTTTCTTTTTTTTCTGACATGATTAGTATAGCTCAGAAACATCAACTTCAATAGAAAGTGAATTTATCATGAATAAGATAAACATTTCAAAAATGCAATTTACTATATATATATATATATATATATAGCAGTGATATTTACAAGATAACACGTATATTTCAGTTAAGTATCTTAAGAAGCAACTCCATGTGTAACATCTCATACTATAGCAAGAGAATAGTTTAACTACAGCATAAGCATTTATCTAGATAAGTAAAAAACAGACTTTTCACAGAATGTCAAGTTTTTACAACTCCATTAAAATGCAGAATTTTTTATTACTCTTAGACATGAAAATAATCTTTGAATAGCTCTATATCCATTTCTTAGAAATAACACATTGCTTCCTCTTCACTGCTTGAAGATAACAGATTTTGAGTATACAATGCTGCTAAGAAAACAATGCACAAAATATAAATACACATAGAGATACAGAAAGACAGAAAAAGTAAAGACAGTCCCCAAGCATAGGACATCAGAACTGTTAGAAAACTCTAGATATTTTCTTTTCATCATTTTCTGGTTTTCAATAGACATTTGTATTTTTTTTAAATATTAAGAAGTTTTGAAAAGTACAATTATTTCACACTACTGAACACCAGCTGTAAGCCAAATGCAGCTTTAGAATTAAGAGATACAGACTGGTCTTCAAGAACCATACGATTTTGGTAACTTAAAAACAGACCAACAAAACCCCAGCAGCACCACCTTTATGATATAAAAATGCAAACAAGACAGCAAGGGAAAAATCATTTACCATTTCCAGAAGATAAGGATGATGTGTTCGTGGCTCAAATAATGTTTGATAGCTGTGAAAATCTTTTTTCCTCTTAGGGTTTGTCTTTTTAAAACCTTTTTGTTGGTTTTCACACTTCGCTCTTGAGAAATTTCTAACAGCTGCTTTAACATCTTGTCTTGGACTCTTAGGAGCAGTGCTATTTATCTGGTTTTCTGCCAGAACAACCTGGTTTTCTGCCAGAATGTCTGCTTCAGTCTTGATGGGAGTTTCTAAGTGTAATAAAAAACAAACAAAAATACACACAAAAAAACTTTGAGAAATAACAGAAAGAGCCATAATAATCCTCACAACCATAATACTGGCTACTTAGTAATTTAGAACTATAACCAATTTTGCAATTCTAGTATTTTTCAAATTAGGAGATTGTGCATTCCAATACTTTTGAACTTGGGTATTACAACTTCCAAGAATTGAGACTACCACAAAGAGCTTCAGAAAGTGATTCCAGGGAAGGAAATAATACCAGATGGGACTTGGAGTAACACAAAGGAATGATAGATGAGAGAAACAGTACACATGTGGATAAACACAAAACATGTTTTTCTATTATTTAAAAAGAATTTAAAGATAATTGACTATTTAAAGCAAAAAAATATTAACAGTGAGGTGGGGTTTATAACATCTGTAGAAATTAGAAATAAAATCTAGGTAATAGCAAAAACCTGCTGAAAAATTCTTTAATTACAGTATATGTGAAGTAAATACTACAATTTGAAAGTATGCTGCAATGAATTAAAGTTCCATACTACAAATCCTAGATGAAACAAAACAAAGTGGGATAGCTTACAAATTTATATTTGCACTGCCTTAAAAAACAAATTAGGGGCTAGGGATATAGCTCAGCGGCACAAGCGCCTGCCTGGCAAGTGTAAGGTCCTGAGTTCAATTCCTGGTACCAAACAAAAAACAAAAAACAAAAAAACACTAATTAACCCCAAAGAAGGCAAAATGAAACAAAAATAGATGAGACAAATAAAAATCAACCATATCAATAAATAATTATATGTAAATGGCCTAAACACCTCACTTAAAAGGCAGAGATGCTGAGGGAAAAAGAGCAAGATCTGATAATAAGAAACTGAATTAAAACACGAGCAGTCCTTGCCTTACACAGTCTGAACTGAGATTAAATCTCAGTTGTCAGAAGACACCACACACACTGATGGCTGGTAGCCAGGTAGCTTCAGGAAGGGGAAAGGGGGCTGTTCACTGACAAGATCAAGCCAAGATTATAGGGCTGGAACTTTCAGTCTTCCTCACCCTCACCGATTCCAGGAAGGAGAGAGAGGGACTGAAGGTTAAGTTGATCATCAATGGCTAATGGTTAATCAATCATGCCTATGTAATAGAGCTACCATAAAAACCCAAAGGACACAAGCATCACACATGTAGAGGGTGGAGGGACCAGGCAGGTTATGGAAGTTCTGTACCCCTTTCCCTACACTTTGCCCTGCTGGGAATATAGCTCAATGGCACAGCACCTGCCTGGTAAGTACAAGGTCATGAGTTCGATTCCCAGTACAAAAAAAAAAAAGAAAAGAAAAGAAAAAGCTTTCTATCCAGCACTTTGCCCTATCAGTCTCTTCACCTAGTGTTCACTGGTATTACTTGTAATATGCTTTATAATAAACAAATAAATGTAAGCAATTGCTGCTCTGAGTTCTATGAGCTGCTTTAGCAAATCAATCAGATACAAGGAGGAAGGCAGTTGGAACCCTGCCAGCTAAGCATCACATATTAATGTAGTATTCATCAATTCAATACAGTTTAAACACTGCCATTCAGTTCTTTCAAACAAATTATTTTTCAGTTTGTAGCCTTCGAATTAGTTTTCAGTTTGAGGTTCCATCAAAGCTGAACCACTGTTTTAGGAAGCTACAAGACCCAGGACAGACAGCAAACCAACCCATTTGGAAATACTTCTCACTAAAATTTTCTTCCTTATTCATGTATTAAAGATTCTGACAGCCATAGACATGAATATAATCTTTCCTTTGCTTCAGTAATGAGGGACCCTTTCTCCTTATTTATCCCATCCTAGAGGCCAGAATCAATACTTAAAAGCCAGTGATTTGCCACTGACTAGGTGGCTTAATAAAGCTGAACTCAAACTATATACAACAATGCTTCAGAATTATTAGAAATTAATTACCAAAGCTTAAAAATTACTACTAAGTAATAGTAAGAATTAATAAGTAATCATTAAGTTCTGGGTAATAATTTTAAGACTATATAAGCTTTAATTTTTAAGATCTAGGGACTACAAAGCAAGGGCTTTCTGCTTAAAGCTGAGAATTTTAAATAATTAGTCAAAATGAATTCACACAAAATCAAATACATATTTTATTAGATAATATCCTCTGTTATCTACAAAGGAGAAGGTTATACACCAGTATTCAGGAAAACAGTAAATGCCACCCCAAAAAGGACTACAGGGAAAGCAGTACAGTTAGCTCTTCAGATAAAATTTCAAGTCCCCTAACCTAGATTTTAACCACCTCTGCCACATACTAGCATGGCAAACTTAGGCTCTCTAAGCTTAAGCTTCTATTAAATGAAGGCATGACCTCAAAAATCTGTCCTGTTTTCCTTTCCTCCTTTGAATTTTAAATATGGTGGCGATCTCAAAATGAAGACAGGAATATAAAAAGTATAAATGTTTCACTAGAAGAGAAGAAAGTCTTAGTTCAACTTGTTTTTATGGGATCCAGTAATCTGCTGATGGTTTTCTTTTTATCATTTGTTATAAATATAGCTGATAGGTAGGAAATGTAATATGTGTTGAAAGAGTAACTCCTTCCTATCAGTATATGAGAAACAAGAGTAAGAAATAAATACTGTTTTTCTTAAAATTAAAAAAAAAAAAAACAAGGCAACCATCTGTTAAGAAATACTCTGAGAAAGTCAAAGTAGCTTATATTTCAAAATTCAAATAGCTTTCAACAAGCTACTAGAATAAGCCACAGCCCATTAAAACCAAGAAAACTCTAGATATAAACTTCATATTACATATTAAAGCCCCAGTTAACATCCTCTGACTACACAAATGCTGATTACTTCTAGCCTAAGTCAACATTAAAGTATTGCCTCCATCTAATTACATTCAAATCTTCTCTTCATTCCATATAAATATTTTCAGATACTGTAGTCTTATTCTTAGTACAGCTCCTACTTGGATTATCATTCTCCTGATACACATAAACAGGAATTTTCTTATGGCTGGTAAAACCTAAACAAAATTACCATGCGGATCCAGGCTTCCATAACCACAGGACACAGGTTTATTCATGAAGTATACGCTAGATTATTGATATGAGTCTTATGTTAAAATTTGTCATATGCATCAGATCAGTAGCCTATGTAATAGCTCTGACAGGTGGCCCTAAACTCCACAATAAGGTCCTACGGGTTATCATCTGTGCCACCATCTTTAAAGGTAAGACATGCATCCTGACCATTTCTGACTTCTGAGGAAGATTCTTGAAGATTTCTTTCTTCCAACCTCTAAAACATAAAGGGTAAAGCAACCACAAGTACAGAGTTACTGTATCTTCCAAATGAGATAATTTATGTAAATGTGCTCCATAAAGAACAATTTTATATGTGTTTAAAAAATTTATCATTCGTTTTGTCATAAAGCATCTCTCTTCACTCAGTAACAGTGTTATAAATACGTTATAATAAAGGTTCTTAAGAGCAGAGAATAAATTAAATGTGTTTTTGCTATTTTTTTTAGAATTTTCTTTCATTCCGTAAGTACGCATTTTCTCTCCTCCTTTCTGTTCTTTAATTGTATTATTTTTGCCTTTTGCTCCCAGAGGAGCATACGTATTTCTCTATTATTCCAGCTTTCCTTGATCCCATGCTCACTTCACCTCTGAATCAAATGAAAAAGGAATTTGAAGCTCAAATAAAGAACATGCATCCTGGATGACATTAGTATACAATATACACTAAAGGCTAAAGCAACCAACAGAAGCCATGACTTACCTTCTGGCTCACTCTCTGATCCCGAAAGACTGCCATAGCTGCTCATTAGTGAACACAAGGCAGGGGTCACTTCCTTAGGTATGACGGACTGTTGCGATTTCTCTTCCTTATCAGACTCTAAAATAGAAGAAAGAACAGATTCAAACAGTATACCTCAAAATATCTACCACCAGAATTTCATTTTATTTTATTTTTCTTTCCAGTACCGGGAACCGAACTCACAACCTTGCACTTGTCAGGCAGGCACTGTGCCGCTGAGCTAAATCCCCAGCCCCCTACCACCAGAATTTTAAAAAGGTGACCATCTTGCACTCTACCATGTTACTATTTCTGATTATTTCCTTAGTTTTCCCTAAAAACTAATTTCAGGAGGCATGAAAAATTTCTCCTTGGTTTAAGTCTTGAGAAAAGAATCTATCTACTCCGGAGGATAGAGACAGATGGAAACCACACAGCTCAGTTAACTTACCATGCTTTGCTGGAACGGGATATGGGCCTTCCTAAGTTACTTAATTACAGCCTTTGCTACTAATTTACAGGTAGTGGGGAGGCCAAAAATTTATTTAACTTTACTGGGTTAGGATCATCAACTCTGAAAATTAGATTTAGAAATAAATAAAATATAAAAATTCACACTCTTTTTGTTGTTTGTAAGATTGGTTTTTCAGGACCAAAATAATACTTAAACCGTTTTATAGGCTTAGTCAATGAGTTCACCCCAAAGTTTTTATCACTTAGAACTAAGAACTTCAGTCACATGCCAACCATAGGAATTTAGTGAGTATGAAAGAGCCTGCCAAAGGTAAAGGGTTTGACCAGAGCCCAGCAAGCCGAGCGTAGCCCCAGACACCACCTATTACATTTTTGGCAGCCCTGGAAACGCATTAACTCTACTCTACATAACCCATAGAAAGAAAGCCTGATTGAAGACAATATAAGTAACCTGTTTATTTAATGAAACAATTCTACAAACAACTAACATAAAATGTTTCAAAACTGAGTATTTAAAGTTCACTCCCACAGTCTAGAGGAAACTGAAACACTACAAGGAAACAGGAACACCCTTTCATGACCTGACCCAGCACTTTTTGTCAGATGAAGACACATCCTCTCTCCTCCCACCTACCCAGGGCCACACCTTCTAAATCTACTATTTGCTCATTTTAAGCCACATTACTACCTTTTCTCCTGGATAAATAAAGGCAAGAAACATATGCAATTTATCTATGTAAATCATGAGTGGATTCAGCACAAATTTACCACTGCATCAGAATGAAGACTGTTCAATCATTGTTTGAACGGTCAAAGGCCAAACAGTAGTATTTTCCCGTAAGGCCTACATAAGTGTACCAAAAAGTACATCACTTAATCCTTACAAATCACCCCGCCACTTTTCACTATTAATTATAGGTAGTGGAACCAAAGACTGACAGTTGGGTCAAATTTAAGTCCTGCCTATGTGACTCCAAATCCCAATTCTGTTCTCCTTCTCTCTCTCTGTCTCTCTCTGTCTCTGTTTGTGTATGTTATGGGGGGCCCTCATACATGCTAGGCAAGTGCTCTAACACTGAGTTATATCCCAGCTCTTTTAATTTTGAAACAAGGTCTCATTAAATTGCCCAGGTTGGCTTCAAATTTGTTACCATCCTGTCTTAGCCTCCTATGTAGTCAGGATTACAAGTGTGTGCCACTCACCACACCAGGCTCCACATCCCAATTCTTAACTAGTGAGCTAGAATGCTCTCCTGTATAAGGTCTTTTGTAGATGAACCCATTTTAGTCAATAGCACTGTTAATAATATCTTCTTCCAAAAATAGCTCCATTTCTTTTTCTTCTTTCATAGCAAAATTCCAAACAGCTATTTGATAAAATTTACCAGAGAAATCATCTGGGCCTTAAATTTTCTTTAGCTATCTGACCCACTCCAGAATCTAATCTGTTTTTTCAGGCCCGCCACCCCAGTAAAACTTTTTTTTCCAAGTTTACCTGGGTCCTCTGTTGCCAAACCTGAAACCCACTTCTTGGTCCTCTTATTTACCTCAGCAACAACATCTCATGGTACTGAATCATGCAGTACTTGGTAAAACACCTTCACGTGGCTCTCTCTTCTCCATCTCCCTACTAACCCCTCCTCACCAGCCAATTCCCACAATTAGGAAGTGGGCTTGGACCCAATTCTGAGACCTTTTTCTCTTTCTGCCCTTCTTTCCCTAGATGTTCTCATATTATCTAAAGTCTTCAAATACTGTCTATATGCTGGCAAATCACAAATTTATACCTCCAACTTTCAGTTTTCTCCTTAAGTCCAGAATAATCCTAACTGCTCATTCAACACCTCTACCTAGAAGTCAGTTACCTCAAGTATGCTGAAAAACAAGTATTTTATTTCCACTTGGTACATGCCCTCCAATATGCTCCATCTCAATAAATGCCAACTCTTTCATCTTAAGGATAGCTAGGATAATTGTACTACTAATATCTTGGTTTATTGAAAGAAACTGTTAATGTGTAATTGTTTGATCAATCTTGCATGCCTATACCTGGTTGTATGTGCAACCATTTTGAAGATGACATTATGTAGTATAGCAACCATTGTTAATATCCTATCACCATGTTTTGAAATTCTGTATCATTTTTATTGCTCTTCATGCTGTTTTATGTATTTGTTTGTTTTTTTTTAATGAAAAACAAAATTTATATGTATATATAAGGAGAGCTGGAATAGGTGTATTGCTGATGTCTGTGGTTTATTGAGAGGAACAGTCAATGCTTAAAATTTTCTTTTTTCTTGATCGATTTTGCACGCTGGAATTTGGTAATCAGAATGACTAATCTGAAAACAACAATATGCAGTATAAAGAACCATTGTTGAACTCCTACCATCTCATATGGTGAAGCTCTGCACCATTTCCAGTGTTTTATTTTTTTATTTATTTAGTTTTTACTTGTTACTGTCTTTGATTGTTTGACCAATCTTACATTCTTATATCTAATGGACTGAGCAACTTCACTGAAGATAACAGATGTAATATAGCAGCCACTGTAGTAAATTTCTATCACTTTGTTTTGAGGTCATGTATCATTTTTGATGTTTTTGTGTTGTTTTGCTTTTGTCTTCATTGTTGTTTTGTCAGTTTTCTAATTTTTAAAATAAAAAACATAATGAAAAAAGGATTAGGCCAAAATTCTAGCAATCATCCATGACTCATTTCTTTCTCTCTTATACCATATCTAACAATTCAGTAACTGCTTCAACTCTATTTTGAAAACATATTCAAAATCAGATTCCTTCTCACCATTTCCACTGCAACACTAAGGTAACATTTCTGACAATTCTAACAGCCTCCTAAAAAATACCCTTTTAGGATCCTGGCTTCTCATTTATGATATGCTTCATCCAACCATAAAGTGAGATCAATACCTCTCTGTTCAACTTAAGTAAAGTCTTAAGACCTACCATGGCCTACACAGCTCACCCGAGTTGAACCCCACTAGTAACAAACCCCACGGCTTTCTTCCTAGATTATGTCACTCCAGCCCCATCATTCCCTGACCAGGCAAGGCTCCTCTTTCAGGGCTACTTGCATTGCAGCTCCCTCTGCTGAGGCTGCTATCCCCTCAGCCATTACTTCACTCAGATGCCTTCCTCAAGGTACCTTCAGAGACGCCTTCACTGAGAATTTTACATAAAATAGTACAATTCCGTCCCCAAACCCTATTCCATCCTTTCACCTCAGCTTCACAACAAATCTTGCCCCAAATTCTATGAATTCGTTTACTGTATCTGCCACAACCAGAAGAGCAGCTACATGACAGAAGGGGCTTGGTTCTGCTCAATGTTGTACCCTCAGAAACTAGAACAGCACCTAAGTGCTCAAAAATATTTGAAGAACAAACTGTTAAATAAATAAGACACATCTCAAATAACTAGCACAGAGAAACCTAGATTTTCGTGGAGCCAAAGTATACTTTTTTTATTATGCAACATGATTCTTTGTTTATTAAAAAAGATCTTGCATTTGTATAGGAAAAACACTGAAAGGACACAAAAAGATGGGATCAATGGTCATTTTCGTAAGTTAAGGAGGTAGTTCTGCTTCTTAAAATTTTGTGCTTTTCAGTTTTTCCCCACACATTCTCTATTACCTTTGTACTTAGAAAGTAACAGAAAACAGAAAAACAAAAGACAGTAAACCCCAGAGAACAGTGTTCCTCATAATGTAATTCAAAAGGATAAATAAGGTAAGACCAATTTGGCCTACACAATCATTTTTTCTTCTTCCCTTTTGTTTTTAACCTTGTATTTTGAATCAATTTTGGATTTACACAAGTATTACAAAAATACCACAGAATGTCTCCATTCACCCTTTACAAGCTTCCCTAATGTTACTCTACATAACCCAAGTACATTTACCCTAACTGGCAAGTTAACATTGCTATATTCTATCTGCACTGTACACTATTATTTTATTTTTTATTTTAAAAATAAAAAGGGGAAAACATTAACAGACAGACAACCTTTTACAAAAAAGCAAAACAGTACAGACAATACAGAGTTACAAACAAAGTGGTAGGAAATTAACAATGCTTGTTGTATTACATATTGATATCTTCAAAGTGGTTTCTCATGAAAACAGAGACATGCAATATTGATCAATCAAGGACTCACTGACAGTTTCTTTCAGCAAAGAAATGGAAGACAGTAAATCAACTCCGTTAACTATCCTGTATATACATACATACAAAATTTCTCCTTCTTTCCCTTCTCTTTTCCTACATCCCAGCTGCCCTTTACCCTTGAGCATTTTCCTATCATTTCACAATGTCTATCATACCTCTGAGTTTAAATTAACTCTTTCAGGTTTTACACTACTGACACAATGCAGTACTTGCTCATGCAGGTCTCATTTATTTCAATTATGAGTATGGTCTCTAGTTGTGACCATTTACCTATAAAGACTTTGAGTTTATCTTTCTTTATAGCTGAGTAATATTCCATTCTATAAAAGTACCACAATTTTCTTATCCAATCCTAGGTGGATGGACATTTGGGTTGCTTCCACAATTTAGCAATTACAAATAGTGCTGCTATGAACAAAGGTGCACATATATCGCTGTGATATGATGTTTTTAGATCTTCTGGGAAAATACCCAGAAGGGGAATAGCTGGGTTGAATGGGACCTCTAGACCTAGTTTTCTGAGGAATCTCCAAACTGATTTCCACAATGGTTTCACCAGTCTGCATTCCCACCAGCAGTGGAGAAGGGTTCCTATTTCTCCACAGCCTCGCCAGCATTTGTTATTGGACTGTACACTATTGTAATTACATCAGTTTTTCCCACTAATGTCCTTCTTCTGCCACACCATTTCACATTTAGTTGTCATGACTCCTTGGGAGAATTAATCTGTAACTCAAATAGGAAGTGTGAAAAAACTCTGACAAATGTTAAAAGCACATTAGTAATTAATTTCAAAGTGTTTTGGGAGGGGATATTTTGAGGTTATGCAAAACCTTCTGTTTTGACTTAGTTTTATCTTGGCCATCAGGGGATATTGTCTAAAACAATTATTACTAGAGGGGCTGGGGATTTAGCTCAGCGGCAAAAGCGCCTGCCTGGCAAGCGCAAGGTCGTGAGTTCGGTTCTCGGTACCGGAGAAAAACCAAAAAAAAAAAAAAAAAAAAAAACAATTATTACTAGGGTGCTCTAATAGTGAATTTCTATTTTTTTCATTTCTTCTGCACATATTCACTTGAATTTGTCTGTAAGATTCATTCCTCTTCATTCATATTTGTTTACTCAAGTACTTATTTAACTCAGTAAGGACTCATGAATATTTACTTTTGGTGTGGCAATTATAATTTATTATTTAGTTTGTGGCTCAAGCTGTTCCAACTTTGGTCATTGAAAAACCTTTATAATACCCTTTGACATGCCAACATTGTTGAGGTTTTTGAGAACTTTCTGGTACTATGGAGTCTTCTAGGCTTACCTTGTATTTCTCAGTTCTAACCCTATAATTAGCCATTCTCTAAGAGGTCCTGGTTTGATTAGCAAACAGTGTTTGGAATCCACGGTCCTGGTTTGATTGGCAAACAGTGTTTGGAATCCACGGTCCTGGTTTGATTGGCAAACAGTATTTGGAATCCACGATTTCAACGCTAGATATACTTGTCACTGGGAGAGTCACAAAGCTACTACACTTGATTGCTTCCCCAAGGGATAAGAGTTATTAGTTTATAAATATGGACAACTATCCCCCCCCACACCATTATATATTTAAGGGACCCAGCTCTTTGAAAAGTGGCATTGTCTTTCTAGTATTATCCAAACACTATAATGACCAAAAAACAAAAACAAAAAACAAACCATTGTATTCCAAAGTCCCCGAGATCTACCCAGCAGTTCCAAAACAGGCACTTTTAGATCCTATCTTGGAAAGACAATGACAAAGGCATGGTACTGACTGACAAAATAATATTAAAAAAACACTTCACTATTTTAAAAAGCAGCTAAAACATCTCTCTGAACTAAAAATAGTGGTATATGGTCGCAATTAAATGAGTAAATAGAATTTGAGTATTCTAAAACACCAACTGAAATAAATTCTCTTACTGTAAAAAAAATTAGACATTTTTCTTGGGTAAACTCCTCTCTCTCCCCCTCTCCCTCTCTCTCTCTCTCACACACACACCACGTTGCTGCTGATCAAAACAAAAACATAATCTAATGCAATGACAAAAAATCATTAGCTTATGAGTCTTTTGTTCATTTTTTTTGCATTATATTGACAATAGGTCCTTTTTTAAAAAGCACTACTAGTTATAAAGAACATTACAAAGAATACAGTTGCAGGGATGCAGAGGGTGAGGTCCAGGAAAGGGGGCACAGAGCGTCCACACTCTCTTTGGGCTCACTGTCCCTCAGGACCCTTCACGTTCCACCCTCTGGAAGATCTCCGAACTCTGTCCTTGTGATTTTATGCTACATAGGCAAGGGTGATTAATTCCTGGGCACTGCGAATCAATTTAAGCTTCAGCCCCTCTCCCTTCCCTGGAAGGTGGGGTGGTGCTGAGAGACTCAACCCCCTGATCTCTGTTCTGGTGTTTCCAGTGATTAGCCCCTATCTGTTTGTTAGTTTCTCTCCTCCACCCTCAAGGACCTTGCTGGATTTTTATATTCTGGACTGATGTGCTCAGCTCTGAGGTAGAAAGGAGACATGTATCCTTGTAGGTAAGCCCTCATTGTAGGTAAGGGCTACAACATCTAAACCATTATGTTCTGGTTTAAAATATAATGATTTGAAATCTTTCACTCAGGGTTGGGAATACAGCTCAGTGGTGCAATGCCTACCTAGCCGGCATGAGGCCCTGAGTTCAATTCCTGGTACCAAAAAAAAAAAAAGAACATGAAAAAGGAAACCTCTCATTCAATTGCTCTTGGAAATCTTAACTAAATGCTTTCTATTAATGAGAATAAGAGGGATCTACCACTGTTTCTCATGTCTAAAGTATCTTTTGAGGACTCAGACACAAGTCTAAATAGAAGTTATGATCTTTTAGTTCTTGTTTTACTGGACTGGCATATACCGAAACACTTCTTTAAAAACAAAAACAACCAGAATTGACCATGTATCAAAATAAGTTACCAAAACAAAAGCAACAAAAACTTCAATATTACAGTCCTTCGGGCTGGGGATTTAGCTCAGCGGCACAGCACCTGCCTGGCAAGCGCAAGGTCATGAGTTCGATTCCCGGTACCAGAAGAAAAACAAACAAAAAAAAGTATTACAGTCCTTCAAATGTTCATTTAGGGGGGAAAAAAAACACAGATACAAAGTAAAGGGTATCATTTTTAAGTTTGTACCCTACCAATGGAAATGAAGTCTTTACATTTGTGTCCTCACTGTGTTTTAAGTATGTGCTTTAAAAACATGAAAGCTTATATTTGGAGTAAAGATATTTTTTCACTAAGGTCATAAATTTTAAATCTGAGGGAGTGTGTAGGTTCTAAAAATTTTTGAAGCCAAAAAAAGTAAGTGTCCAAGAGTACATGCAATACTAGCTCAAAATATTCACTTTTCCTTCCTCTCTGAAAAGGTAGTAAAGTTCCTTTTCTAAACTCTCTCCCACGGCTGGGGATGTAGCTCAGTGGTAGAATGCTTGCCTAGCATACACAAGGCTCTGAGTTCAATCCCCAGTACCACCCAAAAAGAAATGAATAAATCATAAATTCTTCCTATATCAACTGTCCTAAATTCATACAATACTTTTTCAATAAATTCAGACTTCACATTTGAGGATATATGGTTCAAATTCTTCTTCAGTCACTAATTAACAATATAAGGAAAATTCCTTAGCCTCTATGGTTCTCCTTTCTAAAACAGGAGTTATAACAGTAACTATGTAAAAGGCTATTAGGAGGAAATCAATTAATACATATAAACAGAACAGAGTAATACCTTACTCAGTAAATGCTAGTTGGTGTTAAGATGATTTAGTAGTATTACTATCCTGTTAGATTTTATTGTGTTAGTATACTTAACCCAACATTCCCTTATGCCAAGATTCTTCTCTGTCCTAATTTAGTCAATCAATTGGTTACCACCCCCATTTCTTGCCATCTGTTCAATAACTTGCCATGTGATTATCATGGAAGCAATTGTCACCTAAATTGAACAGAAATTATAATCCTCTCACTAAAAATCTTTGGGTATTCCTAACCACTATGAAGCACGCATTCTTAGATAAAAGCCTCAGAATGGTATTGGAAATATTTACATACATATTTTCCTTTTTAGAAGAGAAAATGGAGTCTCAGAGGCTGAATGATACCTGTATGTGATAGCAGTATTTTGAGCTTTCATTTTTTGCCTTATAAACAGGGGTAAATTTCTCCTATAAATCTAAAAGGAATTCTACAATAAACTATAAACATATATAAATATATCCTATCCTTTGAGGAAGACTACTATTATGCAAATACAGTGAAAGCCATTTGCCCAAAGAGTTCACGCTTGTGCTCAGTAGCATAAACAATACTGGCTTCCACAAAATTACTACCTTACAGGTATGGGGAAAATACAAGAAATCAAACAAATGTGTATTTCCAGTAATTCAAAAAAATTGTAAGAATATTCCCAAGATCACACTATACTTTGAGAATTATCTAACAATATAATCTTTCCCCCATAGCCTGCCTGGCCCAAGTATCCACCCCTCAGACTCAGAAAAGATGTTGTGAAGTAATGTTTTTGATAAGACACTCCTCTTAAAAGCAAAAATGAAGCAAAACTATATTTCTCTATATTTTTTGCCTTTTAAGCTTTTCACAAACAAGACTATGCATAATCAACTTCAGCATTGTCATGTACACATTCATCAACACAGTATTTTCTTACTTAGCTTACCAGAATCACTGTTTATCAAAACACCAAGAGGATCTGCATTTCCCACAGGTGGACCTTCAGTCTTGGAAGCACAGAAGTGACTGCCTGATTCACTGACTGGTCTCTGTTTAACACCATCATTTTTCCACTTGTGAAGTTTGCTAGGATTTCTGATCTTTGCCATGTGTGAATGTCTGGACATTCCCTTCATCTTGCTGTAGTAAAAAAAAGTAATTTTTATTCAAGAATAATTTGAGAAAGCTACTGAATGCAAAACAAGGTGCTAAATGGATCACCGCTACACTAGTACATTAAAGAGATCAAAATAAATGAAATCCAGTGGTTCCCAAAGAGAGAAAAGCCTATACTAGAAATTTAAAGGGATAATACCCATAAACACCCCATTTCATTTATCTTAACTACCCATTTCCACCTGTATTTTTAGTCTCAGCTATTCTGTACAGTCATCACAGATCAACTTAACTGACAATGTTCTTTTCATTCCTACTATGCATAAAAATGTTTTTTACAGCTTGTAAAGTAAATTAATTTCTACTCATTTCTAACGTTTCTAAAGCATTCACAAATATGCTACCCTGTTTGACCTTCACGACAACCCTTTGAAAAAAGAGTAGACAGGTACTACTCTTTCTACTTTACAGGCAGATCACTTTAGCATGATTCTACTACAGTAGCTCCAATTAAGTGCCCTCTCGAACAACTGTAACTGCTTCTTTTAGAAAGAAAACAAGTAGTTATGTGAGCATCTTCTAATTTAAACTTAGGAAGGGGTGAAAACAGACCATTTAAAAAAAGGTTCATTTATACTTTCTCCATAAATAATAATATAAAACACCTTTGAGAGTAACTGAGTTTTCTTAAACATATGCATCCTTTTTCAATTTTCCATTTATTAGGCAAAATTCATTTTTCATTAATAATGAAGGCCATGGTTAGGAGTATAGAGTTAGAAATCTGGGTCCAAATTTCTCTTTTGCCACTTACTAGCTGTGTCCCTTAGACAAGATCAGTATCCCTGGCACTGTTTACTCCCTCATTTGTACAAGAGGAATGATGGAGACACAGAACTAAAATAGACTTTTCCAGATAACATGCTAACATACGTAATTTATATCTGCAACCCAGAGGCTTATAGTCCTTTTAGAATCCTTATAAAATCTCAATCCAAAAAAAATCATATATACGTCTATTATCAATTTTGCCAAAAGCCTAAATTATCACAAACCAATCTCCAAATATCCATCCACAGATGTCAAGCTAAGAACTCAACAGCATTACTACAGGCAAATCAGGTACAGTTCTTGCCTCTGGCACACTTAGCCCCATGAGGAAGAATAAAAACATGCCCTTTCCTTGGGCTCCCACTCACAGACATCTCCGCTGCATCCTGTTCCTACAGCATTTGACCCTGTCTGGCTTTTGAAAAGTCACCTTTAAGGTATTCTCTTGTATGTGCTCAGTAGAGATGAGCCTTAGTGGTGAGATTAATAAGGCTTCACTGAGAAGGCAGTACGTCTGGCACCCGCCCCCTCCTTGGAGGGAGTAGTTGTTACATCACTGCTTGACAATCATTTGAAAGGAAAAATTTACTTAGGTAACACAGAAGGTATATGTTAAATGGAGAGATTAAGGAATAATTATAAGTAAAAGGTTAATGGAGAGAAAGTTTTTAAAAAACTCACTCCCAAAAACAGGAAAAGAACAAAAAACAAACAAATCAAATTTAAAAGCACAAGACAATGATACAAGAAAATCCAAGTAAATTAGTAACTACATTAAATATAAAAGAACTAGATAAAGACCAAGATTTTTTTTCAGTCTGGATTTTGTATTTCAAAGATTGAACTATATATTATGTAAGATGTACACTTCAAATATATACACAGAATGTTTAAAGAGAACTGGATGCCAAAAACACTATCCTTTCTCCACTGAGTTATATCGCTACCTTTATTAATATAAATCAATGATTTTGGTTGTAAACTTCTTGTTCTATTTATCAGTCTATCCTTGGCCAATGCCAATCTGCATGACTTTTTCTTGGCTATTCTAGATCCTTTGTACTTTCATATCACTTTCAAGATTATCAGTCTCCCTAAACTCTGCCAAAAATAGAAGTTAAAAATCTTGCTGAAATTTTGCCTGTGATCACTGTGGAGAAGAATTAACATAATTATACTGTCTTTAGCCTAAGAATATTACATATCCCTTCATTTACTTAGGCTTTTAAATTTTCTGAACAAGGTTTTATAGTTTTTAGAGCAGAGCTCTTACAGATTTTTTGTTAGCTTTATCCCTAGGTATCCCTAGATATTTTTTGACAATATGTACTTTTTTTTTAATGTCAATCTATAGTTCTATGTTACCAGTTCATAAAAATACAATTGATTTTTAAAATATTGATGTTATACATATTTGGCTACATTAATTTATAAATGTAGTAATAGTGGACATCCACATTTTATTCCCAATGTCAGAGGCAAAGTTGTCAGTATTTAGCCGGGCGTGGTGGCGCACACCTATAATTCCAGCACTCGGGGGAGGCTGAGGCAGAAGGATCATTGTGAGTTCAAGGCCAGCCTGGGCTACAAAGTGAGCTCAAAACCAGGCTGAACTGCATAGTGAGACCCTGTCTCAAAAACACCAAAACAACAACAACAAAGTTATCAGTATTTCACCATTAAGAACAATTTGAGTGTAAGGTATTGACAGATACTTCTTATTAAAGAAAATATTTTCTATTCCTCATTTGTTAAGTTTTGTAGGAATACATGTTGAATTTTATCAGTTCTCCATTACTGTAATGTCTTCATGAGGTTTTGGTATCAAGATCACATATACTGAATTGTTAAAATGAGCAGCTGAATTGTTTCGTGTGGTATTTTGTTTTGTTTCGTTTTTTGAGAAAAAGTCTCACAGTGTAGTTCAGGCTGGTCTTGAGCTCACTATGTAGCCCAGGCTGGCCTCGGACTTAAGCAATCCCCCTGCCTGTGGGTTACAGGTGTGCGCCCCACTTGGACACTGCTGAGTTTCTGTAAGACTGTAATATTAAGACTGTAAATATCTACAGATATTTACCTTGTAATTTACCAGCATCTAGTAATACTACAAATTCACATACAGTTTGACCTAGCAAGACCATTTCTAGGAACCTATCTACAGAAAAGCTTGTAAGTGTTGGAAGAATTTCATATTAAACTCACAGAGAATTGAATTTCTTTATTAGGATGGTACTTAATTATAGATTCAATTTTCCTAACAGATCTATTAGAGAAATTCTGATTTTTAATCTCTTGAGTCAGTTTCAGTAATTTGTATTTTAAATGTGTGGCTGTTAAGGCATTTCTAGTTTTCTTTTTGCGACTGATTTCTGCTTGACTTTACATTTAGTGAAAATGAATTATTTTGTGTTATTTCAGTCCTTTTAAATGTTATTTACTTTATGATCTTTTTGGTAAAATATGTAACCCTTAGTTATCAGGTATAGTACTACTACAGAGTAGGTTTGTTGTGTTTAATTCTCCTCTTTAAAAACTTTCTCTAACATTACATATTATTTTATAATAGTTACAGAAAGAAATATATTAAAATCTTTAACTCTCAATTTACCTAGTTCTCCTTTGAGGCAGTCAATAATTTTGCTTTTTAAAGTTATGTTATTAGACATATACAGGTATGATTATTATGTTTTCTTGTTGCAGTGAGCCTTTTAACATTACAAAATATCCCTACTTGTCTAACCTCACAAAATAATTTTGAGCTATAGAAATCACAAACCCAAGAATACATACTATATTATGTCATTTATAGAAAGTTCCGGGAGGGGCTGGGGATTTAGCTCAGCGGCACAGTCTGGCCAGCACAAGGCTGTGAGTTCAATTCCCTGTACCCGACAAAAACAAAAAACAAAAAAACAGAAAAAAAAAAAAAAGAAAGAAAGTTCCGGGAACAGGCAAAAGAAATCTATGATAGAAATCTGAAAACAGGTTACCTTTGCAGGGAGGCACTGAATAGGAAGGCTTAAGAAAAGCTTTGTGAGGTAAAGATATTCTGTATATTAATCTGTGCAGAAGTTATACAAATGTGTAGGAGTGTTCATGAACATGTACATATTATGTAAAACTTCATCAAGTTGTACATTTAAGATTACTATATTTAATTAAATTACAAGGTCAATAAAATGTAAATAAAAAGAAAAAAATTCTGAAAAATATTCAGTGAAAGTGAAAGTAGAAGAGTATCTCATATGTTAATGATAGGAAAGCAAACTGGTTCAGTTTCTAGGATAGATATTTACCAGCATCTAGTAATACTACAAATTCACATACAGTTTGACCTAGCAAGACCATTTCTAGGAACCTATCTACAGAAATACCTGTGTAAAATATTTTTATGTACAAAGGCACTAATGGCAACTTTTTATTAGTAAAAGATTTGTAAGAACATAAATATCTGCCTAAATAAATAAATATCTGTCAACAGGAAATTGGTAAAAACAAAAAACATTGTGGGACATCCTTAAGCTTCCTACATATCTTTAAAGGATGAGGTTCCATATATCAATATGGAACAATGTCCAAGTAAAATTTTCAAAGTCTAAAAATATTTAACAGTGTCCAAAAAACAAAGAAAAATTACTGTAACTATCATATATGTACTGTACAAACAAAGGTTCTCTGGAAGGCTAAAATGGATTACTCTGGAAGGAGACCAGCTTGGAAAACGATATTGAAAGATCTTGTTCACTATATATCGTTTAAAAAATCAAATCCATGTATGCAACAGTTATTTTAAGATATAGTTACATTTTTTAAAAGGAAACAAGGTAAAAACCAAAGATTTCAGAATTAGGATTGTGGTGATTTTAAGATTTTGGTTTCTGTTCTTTTTTATTCTTGTAAGTACACTCAGTGAAAATGAACATTAAGAACACAAGCAATTGAGGAACTTACCCATACTGCGTCGTTGTCAATACTTCTCCTCTCTTTTCCTTCTCAAGTTTTAACTTTTTCTTCCTTTCAATATTAGCCAGAGTTGGGTAGTTTCTAGAAAATAATAAAAGTTTATTAGAAAAAGACTTCTGAAATACAAACCACCAAGCAAGTCCTGAATGTAAGCAACCAAGCAGGTCCTGAATCTGGAAATTTTTGTTCAATAACAGTGAATCATTACAAACCTTTCATCGCATCTAGAATTTTTCTAAGATAGAAAAATATAGGCTATAACAATACTACTAAAAGTATACACCAGCTGCTGGTCTACAAACCCTGTTATCAGGCTGCAACTACAGCTAATGCTAGAATTTAAATTGAATATACTATATCATATAATGTGCTCAAACTGATCTAATTTGTCTATTTAGCATGCACCCCACAAATACGCTAAGAAAAATTTACATATATTTCATTACTTATGCAAATATATGCTAAGTATTCACAAAGTTAGCAAGATGAGGAAGAGATAGTTCTAAAAAAAAACTAGTCTACCAGAAGAGATAGAAAAACCATACAAACATCTACAACATAGGACAAAATCAAGAATATAAAGACATAGGGAATGAGGAGGAAAGGTTATATCAAAATGGAGAAATCTAGAAAGAATGAGTCATGAAAGAAACTGGTCCTAAATATGTTGAAGACAGCAACCAGAGGAAAAACTTCAAGGTATATGAAGTACAACAAACAAAGCAAATAAACTAAGACCTCACAAAGCGTGAGACACAGCCAGAGAATAATTCTGTATGAAACATGAGACAGTTACAGGCAATTGGACTGGAAAGGGAGACTTAGGTCAAAACGTCCCTTGAGTTGACTAGAATGTTTATATTTAATTCAGCAGGTGAAGGGAAGCCACAGAGAGATGAGAATATGGAGACATATGTACAAGGCCTCAATCACATTAAATCTGACAGTAGTGTGCAAGATGAACTGCTTTCTTTGCTTGTTAGCACAGCTGTGTGGAGATGTAGGCCCCAAAATGATGGTGAGGGAGATAGATCCCTGAAGTATAAAATGCCTGAAAGGAGGGTACACACACAGCTCTCATCACTCAGCTTGGACACTCATCAGAGTAAATTGTGTTCTGTCACTGCTTCTAAAACAGTTCTCTATTTTTTTCTTTTTTGAACTTCTGCATTACTAACCTGAATAGCCCAGAGAATAAGAAGCCTATGGGCTTGCCATACTGGATGACAGGAATGGAAGTGACACTGGGTTAAGTGGGCAAGTACTCAGAAAAAGGCAATGAACGTCAAAGACAGGCAAAGCAACATACCCAGCCAGGAAAAATAACCTCCATAAATAAAAGATGATGAGTGCACAAGCTATAAATAAACGTAAGCGGAAAAGATCAAGGTCATTGGAGATAAAAATCTGATAGCCAGTCAGCAACATGTGATTATACTTTCAAAAAGTAAACACAGTCTAAGGTTATATGAAGTAGACTCTGGCACTCACACAACTGTGAAATCTTCTTGCTTGATACTCAGAAATGGTCAGAGTGTCTCAGGGCACTCTGTCAGCTGGTAGAAAAGGAACACAGAAAAAAAGGCAAATTGGAAAGGACTCAGAAAAGACTCAAAGATAATTAAGAGGGTGAAAAATAAAACCTCTGAAGAAAGATGAAAGGAACTATTTGCAGCTTCTAAAATAGCACGAAAAGTGACAATAAAATAGTTTTACAGGGCAGATGGTATCCAGCTGTTCTCAATCTGAACAATGTAGAAGCAGGAATGAGGAGGAAGATGGTGAGAATCTGCAAAGGGCCCACGGTGGTTAGGCATGGAACTCAGTTACCCAACACTCACCACTCCCCTCTGATTCACTCGCTCTTCCCACTCTGTCTCTTCATACTTTTGTTCTGAATGCTGCAGACTGTTAACATGACGGGCCACATGTGAAACAATAATATCTGTAATTCAGTGCACCACGCACAAATACGCTAACGTTAGACATGTACCTCTCATGGTAAAGAATTTAAACATTTGTTACAGCAAGTGGACTGTAGGTAAGAGATCAGAAATAATTCTCCAAATAAAGACATAGAAAGATGGTATGGAAACTTCTCTGGTGGGAACCTTTTCAAACAGCTTTCTTTTTATAGTAAAGTGTCAAGTTCCTAAAAGTAAGGAATCTTCCAATATTCATTCCAAAGATAAAAAATTCTTACTTTTCAGTTCTGAAATGAATCAGGTCCTCTCCCAAAATTTATACTACTGTTATTTACACAAAATTCATCAACTTAGAACTAGGGAAAATAAAGGTACTAGAAAACAAATTATCCCTCCAAAACAGGAAACAAGAAACACAAGATCTGGCTATACACACAGCAATTAGGAAGCCTCACTTCACCAACACACTGAGATGCAAGAATAAGGAAAAGGAAAAGGAGGGGCTGGGGATTTAGCTCAGCGGCAAAAGCGCCTGCCTGGCAAGCGCAAGGTCGTGAGTTCGGTTCCTGGTACCGGAGAAAAACCAAAAAAAAAAAAAAAAAGGAAAAGGAAAAGGAAAAGTAAAGAGCTACGATAGAGAGCAGTTCAAGTTCCTACAATAAAATTCAAATAACAAAAACTATTGAAAAAAATCATAAATTATGCCCTACATCATACAATAATATACAGGAAAAAAACTTAGTTCAATAGCTCCTACTAGAGAACAGATGTTACAAAGTCGTAAAGCTTGTGACAAGGGTTATTTTCACAGTTGGTTTCTCTGTATTTTTACCTGCTAAAATCACTTTTCTCCCTGCACTTCTATCTTTCCTCAACAACACAGAGGAATCGGTCCTAACATCAAATGCTTTTTCTTTTGCACCTCTCCCTCCTTCATTTCTTACCTCCTCTTTGGTTCCTGCCTTGCCTACACCTCAAGTCTCCAGTAACAGTTTTTAACACCTACTACGGAGTCCATAAAGGGGCAAAACTATGTCAATCACTATCTCAGCAGGTATCATACTGGTCACATTAATTCTCTCCAACTTTTTCCTTATTCTCAAGTTACCACTCACTTACTGGCTTCTCCTAGGCCTAGTCTCTATAAAACACAAACCCTCAGAGAAACACAACTGCTTCAACACAAGCTGTGCCACTATATTTTATTTAACTCTTTCTGAACTTCAAAAAAATATAACATTAAGGAGCTAACCATCTCTGCAAAAACTTTGAATGGACTGGGGATACAAATTAAAAGGCTTTCTGGAGCCACAGTGAGTAATAAATATTATAAAACTACCCCACCTAGTGGACTCCCAATCTGCTGTGGTATATGATCCAGTTTCTAAAAGTGAGGTCTTGTAAACAAACTTCTACCATTCATTTTCCCTAATTAAAAGTATATAGCAGTTGTACCTCACAGGTCAAGATTTAAGACAGGATCACCTTTGGGGGTCATAGTTTTTTGTTTTTTGAGGATGACTAGTAGAAAGCTTTACAGTTTGTAAACTCAGCAAAGCCCTATGAGTTTTGCTAATTTGCAAAAAAAAAAAGATTTAGGAAAAAAAAGAAAAAAAAAAGACTTAGGAATAAAGACAAAGATTACCTTCATTTAAGAACAATATATAAGGCAATCTTTAGTTTTCTTCCATCTTTAAATTCTTATCTGTGAAATCTTTCACAAGGTTTCTAACAAAGCAACTACACAAAGACTTTATCTTTCCTGCTTATCAAAGAATAGAGTGGCTTCCTCAGAAAGAATGAAATTCTCACAAAGACAATTCAACCAATGTAGAACTCATTCTTTTAAGAAGTTCAAGTAATAATTTTTACAAATTATTGTAAATTTTTACAAATTTTTACAAATTTGAGGCTGACAAATACATAAAAACTAAATATATTTTTGTAATGTCTTTTTTAAAAAATGGAGAGTGGAGAGAATAAGTGTTTGTTTTGTTTCGTCTTTGAGACAAGGTTTCACTATATAATTCAGGCTGGCCTTGAACTCATGGTGATCCCTCTTGCCTTTGCCTCCCGAGTGCTGGGATTACAGGCGTGCACCACCCCACCTAGCAGTGTAAGGATATTTTTGAGAAATCTATCAAATGTACCAAAAGAAGGTAAGTATTTCCTATATTTTCTATTAATGAAACATAACATGAAAACTTCAGAATATGCTAAGGAGCAAGAATCTGGCAAGTAAGATATGGAAGAATGTCAGATAAATTCAGCAAATGTTGAAAGATAATTTTAGAGAACGTGGTAGTCAGGCAACACCACAGATACAAGTGAACTTCACCCCAAATTGTTATCCTCAGCATTATAAGCTCTTCTGAAATTCACTAATCTAAAATGTCACTTACTGAATAGATTGTACGCACTCTTTTTCCAAAGCCCTTGTGATCATGACCTTCAGCCTATATGCTTAAAAACTAGAGCTAGACACACGTGTCCTACACAACAAGAACCACCAACAAGCAACATTTGCTCAAGTTAATTCTTTTTTTTTTGGTTTTGGTTTTTCTCCTGTACCAGGAATCGAACTCCCAACCTTGTGCTTGCCAGACAGGCGCTGTGCCGCTGAGCTAAATCCGCAGCCCTCAAGTTAATTCATTCAAAATGATAGGGCTGCTTCCAAAATTTTACTTATAGTTCTGAAATTCAACAAGCTTCAAACTGTGCCACTCTGGGCTGGGGATATAGCTCAGCGGCATAAGCGCCTGCCTGGCAAGCGCAAGGTTGTGAGTTTGATCCCTGGCACAGCAAAAAAAAGAAAAAAAGAAAAGAAAAAAACTGTGCCACCAAGCTCAAGGCAAGTCAGTGCTAGCTGGATATTTTTCTTTCTTCCTTAACAATTTTGCTTGAGGGGCTGGGGATTTAGCTCAGTGGCACAGCGCCTGCCTGGCAAGCGCAAGGTCATGAGTTCGATTCCCGGTTCCGGAAAAAGAAACAAAACAAACAACAACAACAACAAAAAACAATTTTGCTTGAGGACGCCTCCAATCCCACTAATGGTAACCACGCAACCTCATAGCCCATAAATCTATATGCAAAATCTCCTGGTTAGAGCTAAAAACAAATCCATTGCTTTCCCAATAAAATTGGGAAACCAGGCTA